CTGATATAATAGTTTATTAAATAAACTATTGCATCGATAAAGGTAAAAGACGACTTACATATAAATAAGAACTGGTACTCTGGTCTAAGTCTTTCCGAATTGGCCCGTTCGGAAAATCCCGAAGGGTGATTTTCCTAGCAAAGATCCCATATGCTTAAAAATCTAGAATGAAACTGGAATTAACCCAACCCAAGTTGGAGTGAGTTGAGAACTAGTTCAACCTAACCAACCCATTAACAACCCTAGATACCACTATTAGGTGTAAGGTAATACAATCAGGAAAATCTAAATTTCAAAAATTTGCATAATAAACAACCTTTGTGCTAAACAAAAAATTTTTATTAATTTTGCTAACTTCGAACACTAACCTAAACATTAATCTAAACAAAATTAAATCAAAGGGTTTTGTCGCTGGTCCCATGACCTGGAAAATCATACACACATCCTGGATCCACTATGTTAATATTGGCAGGTAATGGAATATATAAACGTGCGTTAAATTAATTACATAATTGTTTTAAAAGTAATATACAGAAAGCAAGTCGGTACATCACCGATTTGAGTGATAAATATAGATTAGATTGGCGAATTTGCTAATTTGCTTCCAATTAGTTAACCTCGAATTAGTTAAATTGGGAGTAAAATTGGCAAACGCATAACTTTAAACTAACCTTCATATAATCAACAAGATACGTTGTCGGATTCATCATTGAAACAGGAGTAATATCAATTTCGGTACGAATTGCACAATTTTACCCATTACTGGTATATTTAATAGATTCCGTAAAATCAATATCGATTAAAAAACGGTTTATCAAAGATATCAATTTTATTGTAGTACCATCTTGTGACTATCTTCGGCTTTGGTGTAATAACTTCATGTTTTTTCTGGTAACACCCGAAATAATTAATAGGAACAAAAATGGGTTAAAACCATTACGAATATTAGATGTACATAACAGATAAACAATCGATATATTATTTGTAACATAATCTAAATGTGTAATGGTAGATTCATTGTGATAAAGTAAGTTTGCTACAAATGAATAATTAGCGTGCATATCATGAACATCATAAACGATTTGGGATTTGATGATATCATAATCAGTTTATGCATAAACTTAATTTGGTCACACAAAAAAAATATTTATTTCGCCTTGAAATTTTTTTAGTGCCTTTGTCGCAATGAGCAAAACACAAAAGCCAGCAAGCACCGGATCAAATCGATTCTCAGCGAATTCAACTGCATCAATCAACGTTCCGTCAAGTCGTTCTGTTAGGTAATAATTATTATTCACTTCTGTTTTCATATGAGTTTAATAATCTAAATACTATTGTCACAATAGCTTTTCTCCAGAACAAGTATATCGAAATTATGGATCATTGGCTAGTTTTTCACAATCTTTTGGACAAGGAGAATATTCACATAATGAAGGAGAATTGAGCCAAAGTCATAGCTATAATAGAACTGATGGTGACGTGGGGTTAGATCATACAATTGATAATCAAAATCCACCTAGTGGATCATTGTATTCACGGAGGGGTACAAAGATTCCTTTCCGAATACCATTAAGTCCTAATACCCGTAAAATTTCGCGTAGTCGTGGTTATTATACGGTTACACCTGGCTCTTATTCGGCTTCCTTTTCTAATGAGAGGACTCCTTGGAACACTTTAAGATATTATAATGATACCTTTTTTATTGGGTCACCCACTGATGATAATTTATATGATGACTCTACATCATTAGCGTCACCAAATTATGATGACGTTTCTTGCGTTATCATGGATGATGGTACAATACAAAAAAGGAGAGTTTCTTTAAACTCGGAATATTCAAGGTTTGTCTCTTTGAAAAATAAAATGTCATATATTTATGTATATTGTTTAAATATTTTATTAAATTTTTAAATAATTAGGCAAAATACCTTTGCCGGAGAGCAAGCGCCATTACTTGATTATTACGACTCGGATTCAGATTCCGAATATGTTAAATTTAAAAAACCACCTAGTCAGTCGTTCTGTCACCGCGCTAAAACTTGGTTGCGGGAAAACACATTAACTCAAAACAATAAAAATATCATTAAATGTGCATTGGCATATTTTCTTGCGTCATTATTCACGTATATTCCATTTTTAAACGAATCGTGTGGTTTTGATAAATCATATAATTCGCATCTTGTAGCAACAGTTTCGGTGTTTTTTGATCCTGCAAAATCATTCGGTGGAATATACGAAGCTGTTTTTTACGCAATTATAGGTGGTTTATATGGTATGAGTGTTAGTATTGGTAGTATGTTAAGTGCTGTATGGTTCAACGAACATAATATGAATCTTTTGGGGCACATTATCTCGGTTGTATTTTGGTGTGGAGGAAGCATGTTTATTGTTGCATTCAGTAAAGCAAAAATTAATAAGCCATCCTTTAATAGTGGTAAGTTTACTACAAATTGGCTATTGACATTTTATTTGATTATATTTGATTTATATTGATTTTTTTTCACTCTCTGTTCTATGTTTACAGCTTGTTCTCTAGCAAATATAATCATTTTTATTTCTATAACCAGAGAAGGCGGCCCATATATACAAAATGTCGACTTTTATATGGTTTTTCAAGTCACAAAAATAATACTTATTGCCGTATTAATTAGCTTTCTCGTCTCTGTGTTAATTTGGCCCATTAGTGCGAGTAAAAAATTAGGGTAGGCTACATTACATTCCTATGCTAATTTTTTTTTTTTTTATCTTATTCACCTTTCCCTAAAATTGTCTTTCCTCATCTTAAAATAAGGAATGAAATTGGCAAAACTATTGGTTCGTTTCGTCTCTTGTTAAAGCTCCTTACAAAAACTTTCTTAGTTGATGACATAAATTATACGGACAAATCTGTACAATCCGCGATCGAATCATATCGCGCAACTTTTACTTCTCTTAATGAATCATTAAAGCAGGCAACACTTGAGATACATAATAGGAATATGCAAGAAAAGCTTCATTTATATAAAAAAGTTGTAGAGAGTTTAACTCGGTTAGCACAACATTTGGGTGGCTTAAGAAGTTGTTGTGGACTTCAATGGGAAATCATAAAGGACTCTAAAGATAAAGAAAAGCCTTTGAATAATAAATCAGGTAGAAATGAATATGAAAACGAAGACACTTGTGATTTAAAAGCCCTATTAGAGCTTATTCACTACATTGGTCCGCATATGAAATCTCTTGCATACACTTGTAAACAAACTCTTTCACATCTTCAAGAACAATTTGTTGAGACAGATAATTTACATTCGAAGATAGTCCCATCATTTACATTACTTAGCCAAAATCAAGTTTTATTATATGTCCCGTAAGGTCATTTTCAAGGCATCTTTAATTCACTCCAACTTGGGTTGAGTTCACTCCTGGGCTGCTCCGGAATATGCCACTCCATTAACAACTCCTAGTGGCTATTATAGTAATCAAAACTCCAAAACTAGTCGTTCGTTAAACAAATATTCGGCATGCACGTGAATTTGGCCAATCACACAGGTGTGAATAAAAGTGAAAGATTTGAAGTGTAAAAAAGCTTAACGTTAATATATGGGATCTTTGCTAGGAAAATCACCCTTCGGGATTTTCCGAACGGGCAAATTCGGAAAGACTTAGACCAGAACACCCGTTCTTATTTATATGCAAATCATCTTTTACCTTGCCGATATTATAGTTTATTAAATAAACTATTTCATCGATAAAGGTAAATGGCAACTTACATATAAATAATAACTGGTATTCTGGTCTAAGTCTTTCCGAATTGGCCCGTTCGGAAAATCCCGAAGGGTGATTTTCCTAGCAAAGCTCCCATATACAAATTATTATTGCGAAAATTTTGATTTTACGTTACTCCTGATCTTATATCCTGATTGGCCAATAAACACGTGTCTACAGTTTTTCCTAATCACGTATTATATTTCGTGTATTATTCTCATTATTTTAAACTCTACTTTTGTTTAATGAACTTGAGATTATCTCTGTTCGTTGTTCACGCGCAATTTTTATAAGATTTACTACCTTTAAAAAAAACGGTTTATAAGTGAAATATGCAGTATGGAACAACAAGGACGAGAAGGGCACCGAAACAGAACCCGCAGCCTTGAAGATTAAAATAATAAAAGGTGCGAGAAAGTAAATATCAATTAATGTTAATGTGTTGCAATTAATACTTCTTTTTTATAGACTTGAGAACTACTGGTCCTGCATGAGGGATCAGCTACGTATCTTTCTCGAGCTGTTTAGAAGAGGTATTATATTTACACATTCTTCAATCGCTCACCTAACACTTCCGGCGTATTTTTCAGACAAAAGTTTGGAAATACATCAGAACTGTTATGAGCCCCGTAATATTTTAATTTTCTACGAATCGTGAAAATTTTAGAATATTGCGAATAGGTTCACACAGGGATGGTAAATGACTTGAAATGACCCAAATGACTCAAATGACAAATGACTAGTCATTGGTCATTTCAAAACTCAAATGACTTAAGAAGGTCATTTAACTTCTGTTAATTGATAATCTAATGCTGTTTAGCCAATCAAAATTGATTATAAACAAAATTAATTTTTATAAAATATGACCGATAATAGTGGCTACATATAAAAGTCAAAAACTTACTAATCTAATTAATAATTTCGTCTTAAGTAAAAAGTTATTAAAATTATAAAACTTGACTTTAATATGTAGCTACAATTATCGATAATGAAATAATATCGTTTGATATTATATATCTGACCAATAAAATTACTTCATATGTAAATGACCTAAATGACCTAATGACCCAAATGACCTGGTAATTATTTGATGACTAGAGGTCATTTAAATTTTGATCAAATGACCAGGTCATTTACCATCCCTGTAAGTATTCAGTAAACCGATTGTTGGCAAGGAATGACAAGCGACCGTGATATAGTCACGAGAGTAGATATTATTAGATCAAACAACCACATGGCTGAACTCAAAGCTACATAAATGTTTATAGGACTTAATTGGGGTCTGTATTTGTTGTTCTTTTTCTCTTATAAGTATAACTTTCGGGCTCTATCGAAGATTCCCTCCCACTTACCACTGCTCATATCCATGCGTTACTCTATATGGCTGAGTTGTCAACGCCAAATTCTGAAGAAACTCGTGACCAGGAATTATATAAATATTATTACGCCACACCATTCTCGTGTGGCTGTGTAGACCCCACCGTTCTCAAATTAAGTGAGGTTTTATTGACATCAAGTAATTGTAGCTAAATTGACCTCGAGCAAAATAATAGGAGCTTGAATTTATACGCGGAGAGACTACTCTACTTAATGACTACGCTATAATGCAATGACCACTCTGTAGTAAGCCTTTATTTAGTAAGTAGTAGGCTCCACTGCTGCAAGGACCTCATAACACGGTAGACTCTACGGCTGCAGTAGCAGTGCAGTGGCAGTGCAAAGACCTCAAGCTAGAGTAGGCTCCACGGTTGCAGTAGCAGTGCAAGGACTTCATAATTAGGCTACATATCAGTAGCTGCAATAGCAGTGCAAGAACTTCATAACTAGGCTCCAAGGCTGCAGTATCAGTGCAAGAACCTGTATATCTGATATGTAAACACATAGTACACAAGTATTACAGTAGTATTAACCGATTCTCTTTACAGCTATGACATCACTTCATTGGGTACATTATAGTATTAGTTGAGATAGCATATGTTTTCTTAGAATTCATGTAATTAGAATAGAGCCTTGAGATAGCGGGCCCTTCTCATATGTTTCTTCAAATATAGTAATAAAGTCTCTGATCGAGCAATAATAAAACATTTTTTAACTTATAGATAGTACAATAATAATATAATAATGTATTTTTATGCTAATATTTTTTTTTATTTATGTTAAGACAAATAATAATTTATTTATGATAACGATAATATCATGTGTAAGAAAGCTCAATCCAAATGCCGAATGCCAAATTATTGTTGTTATTTAGTATATAAAGGTTAACTGTTTCTTTGGAATATTATGAAATATCAGTTTATGAACTCGTTATCAAATGAAAGATAAGTTTAGTCCTTAATTTTTAATTATTTGCATCTTTTTTTTTTTTGATTATGAAATTTTACAAATGCAATTAATTCGAAATGAAGTACTAAAAAAAAAAAAAAAAAATCAAAGACGTTACTCTGAGAAATATATGCAATGAGTCTAGTTTTCTGACAAAAATTAAGATTTATTATTCAATTGTAATAAATTTAATAAATTTCAATAGTTATTTCTTTTATATTCGTGTTATCATTTTGTTGCTTTGATTTTTCATCTCTCTTTTCTAACCATGTTAAGTATAATCCTTTTCTGTATTGATATTGATAAATAACCCATAACTTTGAAATTCTATAAAATCTTTTACATAAAATTATCAATGCAATAAATAGATAGATAGGGTATATGATAAACCACACTAATAAAAATAGCCATGATAATATTATACGCAATTTATGGTCAGCACACCAATCATCATGCCATGAATTCGAAACTTCGATATGATCACATGAAATTATTTGATGTCCAGGACCGACAATTTGATCTTTTAAATATGGATATGCAAGTGGAATATTAGAGCAAGCTCCTAATCTACAACAAAGATATATCTTTAGTTTTTATAAGGAATTATTACCAAAAAAAAAGGTAAATATATTTACATTTGAACTATAAATATAAATTTCAATCGTTCCGTTTTCCGATCTATGAAACAACCACAAAAACCACAAGAACAATAAAAACCACAAAGATAAAAAAAAAACACAAAAGCACTAATCGTTGACAATGCACTAAAAAAAAAATTTATATTTAATACAGAATTAGTATTAAAAATTTAGTCAGGGAATATATAAAAAATATTCATACTAATCATAACCATATACTCCATGTAAATCTGTACTGTTATCGTTTTTTGTCAATATATTGCCTGCATTAGAATCTACTTACGTACATATTGATTGTATAGAATTAAAATTTAATATTTAGATTAAATCAATTAATTATAAAGCATACCATAGTTAACGAAAAATCCGAAAACCACATATAAAAGTATGTGGTTAATGGTTAGAAACCATGGAATAGTTTTTAATACTATTGGAACATATTCGTCATAAAAGGATTTTGTTCCTGGTTGACGTGGAATCATCTCTAATAACTTTTAGATAATATTTAGTTATGAAATTAATAGCTAAACTATGTACTTATTTATATAGCTAGAAGAAGATTTCTTTATATATTTGAAAAAGGAGATCTATAAAAATATTATTTATCCTTGTGATCTGTACTATGTACGCCCATTCTTTCAATTTCCATTTTGATGCTTACGTATTTTAATAATATCCAGATCCGTTGAAATGAAGTTTCCAATTTTATACATCAGGATATTTTCGCGTAAATAACGCTCATGAGTATTATTTTGAAAACCATGTATGCTATACATTTCTTTTAATAATGCGATCTGAAATCCTCCAAGTAAGATATCTGACTTAAAATCCGATCCTATTTAAATAATCTGCACGGGATTATCTGACGAATATCTGATATCGATATCTGCTTATATCTGAATGCGTTATAGAGAGTTTGCTTCGAATAAATTAGTGAACCAAAATCAGCAGATCGACAAAAATTCCGGTTTGTATACATAACGATAAGAATTGTTAAATTTGCTCAAAAATTTTGTTAATACCGTAAATTTATAACCTACTCAGTAAGCAGGGTTTTATAAACAGTAGGTTACTATAACCTCGAGTAAGTTACCAAATTACTGCGCAGTTAAAAAAATTTTGGGGGCAACTTTAAGATATAGTTTTGCCGGCATTAAAATTTGAGTAAAAACTGCCAGTTTATGAAATTAAAATTTTTTATTCTTTACGGTAACTTCTAGTAATTTACCAATATTTAGAGTAACTTACCAAAAAAAATTATAAATTAGGGTTGTAATAATTTACCTCTTATATTGTAAGTTACAAATATAAGATGTTAAAGCAGGCCAAAATAGTTTGAATAAATATAGAAACTAAAGCGAACCTGCTTTAAGATTTTTTGGTCAGCATAAGATTAGTGTAAATACGTAAGTTATGTCTTACAAAAGTTGTGATAACTTACATAATTCTTTATTCGGTCAATTTTTTAGCCTCAAAATTTACAAAAACAGCTGTAATACCGAACTAGCTCCGATGAATTCATACCCGGAATTTCGGTCAGATATCCACAAAGCAGATAATGGATACAATATCCGATCTAGCCTCAGATAAAAATATGTCAAATCTGTTATATATTGAATGTATTGCTATATATCCAATGTTACTATCAGATGGGAAGCATTTGGCAAATAGGGCCGAGTTTAGTCAGAATAGTAAAAGTTTAAAATAATGAGAGAAGCAGGTAAAAATGGAATTGGATACAAATACAATAAATAGGGTGAGAATAAGTAGATGATAGATAACGTAGGTAATAAATATGGTAGGGTTTTATAGGTATAAATAAGAATTTTATTATTTATTTTTATTAAGGTTTTAATTTATGATAATTTTAAGATAAAAAATTTTTACACATAGGGAAATAAAGAAATAAGTATAAGGAATAGAAGAATTTAGTTTATAGTAAAAGCTTTGAATTACCTATTAACTTTATTATTTATTTATTTTGTAAAGTAAAATTCTGAAAAGTGAAAATAAAGAGGTTAAATATAAAGATTAATTTAGTATACAAAATAGATTGATTTACATATTTATATTTCCTACTATACTTAATTGAAATTCTATATGGTCTTCCTTTTCTAAGCCTACTACATATGCAAATTTTTCTAATTACAATATACATCTTCTTTATAATAGCAAATATAAGAAATTTGCTATATAGATTTTCTTTATAACAATACAAACAAATATAACAAGTATAGTATTACTTATATAGCAGAGAATTTGTATAAAATTTAGTATATTAGGAGCTTCAATATGAAAAATTAGACATCTATTAGAAAGTAATAAAGGATGTATTTGTTTCAAAATAAATTTCTATTTTGTATTAAGTGTAAGCTTATTTATATGTCTATATTTATTAACAACACTTTAGCAATTATAATTATTTTTTAACTACATCACTAAGAAAGTTTATATATTTAATAATTTAAATATTTATTTCATTTTCCGATTTCAAAATTTTAACGATTTTTTTAAATCCAAATTTTTGAAATACGCTAATTTTGAAACCCCTATAATTTCTACTAATAATTATTATCGTACTATTATTTTCTATCCATTTAAATCAACATCTTTATTTTTATACTAATGACTTTATTATTATTTTCTTGACTTGCGATTAACAAAAAGCTAGACTTTCATCGTGCTTGCAAATCTATTTTTATCACTTATATAAACCTTTTACCCATAATCTCATACTTATCCAAATGTCATAACGTAATTTCTTATCTTAACTCTACTAATTACGTACGTACTTTGGATACTGATCTCGTGACAAATAACTGCCCCGTGACTTCGTTCACGGCATTTCACTTGTTATATTAGTATGTGCTATATCAAAAAGTAAAAGATTACCTATATTAAAAGCAATGTTCATATAGATCGATATGAATAATATTGGCGAAAAGCACGAGTTGTTACATAATTTCCGTGTAGTATAACTCATCATTGCATAATAAGACATTTCTTGCATTATAATTCGTTCCATAATTAATATTATATTCAATTTTGATTATATGAGACATGAAATTTAAAATTGTGGGAGCACAATGCGGGACCATATGTACACATGAAAACCAAGCACTTTATTAGTTGAATAATGCTCAATATGATAATTTTATTAAACAAACGTACTGCTGTATGTACATGTTAATGTCAACTACAATAATTCAAATTTATACTTTATTGTATCGGATATCATGTAGTAATTTACAAAGCATTTATTATTCATGCTACTTTGTTTCCAGAAAACATAAGGTAAGAAATGAATTTCCAAGACTCAACTTATAAATTAAAAAAATGCATGAGAACACAAGGGCAAATAAGACACTATTAGTGCGTTATGATGAGAAGTGTTACAAAGCTCTATTTTTTGATCAAATGATTCTAAGTATATGTATACACGGGATTTACTCCTCAATTAAATTAATGTACTGTACGTACGACGTATATTAAATATATATTATATTCGATATCTATTTACAATATTTAACGTTAACGTTAAAGCATATTATAATTATTAAAAATATAAGGTTAATGATAAAATTTTAATAGATGTACTTATATTAATTAAAGAAAATCGTTTAAAAATTACGGAAATTAACATTAGAGAACACAATTGCGTAAGCATGTGTGAAATCACATGCTTATATTCTTTTGAAGAAAAAGTAAAAAACTACTTGTTAATAATTATTTATCGGATGACTATTATCGTTATATACATCGTTAGTACAATTCTTGATTTGGATCTAATCCCTAGATAACGATAAGGCTATGTTTTTTTTTATAAGTTGCCTATACCATTTTTGGAACCTCATTTATAACGGTGCATACGGATATGTAACTAATCAATACTTCTTTATTACGTTAGGTATACAATGCAAAATTATGGTGGTAGTTAAATCACACAAGATTTTGATGATAAAGATAATAAAAATTATTTTAAGGTCTAGTTACGTATTAAAAAAAAGAGCACAATCCAGATTAATTTACATAATTGGTATCGGATAGAAAGAAAGTTTCAACACTGAATAATGTTTAATTGCTTTTCGATTGTAAATAATCCTATACCAGGGTAAATAAAGGTTATCTTTATATGTATATATTTGTTCGTATGTGTGTTGAGTCTAAAAATATTTTATGAAATTTTATTTGACCCTGAGAATAATTATTGTTCTGGAAAATATAAATGAGGAAACAAGTAACTTAATTTACTTGGTTTATTATTTGTTGTGCTAAAATAAGTATTAAGGATTTACTTACGCACAAGTATGAGAATAAATAGCAAAACGTATTCTTACATATGTATCTATGTCTATTAAAAATGATTCATAACACAGATAACAAGCAAAACTTGTAACAAATTATAACATTGTGAATTAATTAGATGGTTTTAAATTCTGATTTCAAAGTTAATAATATCCTTATAAAATGTTACAAAGTTTTCTATTTATATTTATTAATAAAATATACGTACTGTTAATTTTAACCATTGTTCTAGCGTGTCCTTGTTTAGAATTATATTATTTTAATGTCAGATCGTCATAAATTCATTGTTACGGTAGTCACAATGAAAAATAGTTCACTAACAAAAAGAAATGCGGTGTTATTAATTGCGAACAGAAGTATGATAACAATGATAAAGCGTTATTTTTATTAAGGAAAAAAGGTGTTATGTGCACACTTCTTAATTTCATTTTAGGACAATTTGAAAAGAATTTATAGGTTACACGAATTACCTAAAAGAATCACCAATCAGACGTTGCCTATTAATATCGTAATACTCTCCTACATAAAGTTTCATTGAATTTCTTACTCTTTAGTAATAATTCTCGTGCTATCGACGTTAATTATTACCAATCTGATACGGGATAGCAAAGATAAGTTTTCATGCATTTATGTATGCACGTACGTAATTTAACGCCAGTCACACTTCTAAGCTAAGGGGATCAAACTTGCTCGATTTTTGTACTACCCATAATAATCTAGAAACAAAAAATGATAATCTACAAATGGCGGGCTGAAAAAAGCTTATTACTTGGAAGCAAATTGTTTTTATTAAAAATTTCTTGAACTTTAAACTCGAATATCTCAACGAAAACTTAACCAATTTTGATGATTTAAATCATCAAAATTGGTTAAGTTTTCGTTGAGATATTCGAGTTTAAAGTTCAAGAAATTTTTAATAAAAACAATTTACCTGGATTCTGTTGACTTCCCCCCACTTAATTTATGAGATTGTTATCAAAAAACCTTAAATGCGCTAAAAATTAACTATCGCTATTATATTAATTAATTTTTAAATATCCTCAAATATGGGTAATTTATAACGTTTAATATTTAGTGTTACTATTGTAAAACATTAACTTAATGCACTAATACTTGGGGATGAGCATTGTGAATCCATACGACGAGCCTCTTACGTACATGCGTATTAACATGAAATTTAACTTAATAGTATAAATGTATTAATTTAAATTGACCGTCCAAACTAAGTAATATATAATTTTATCAATAAAGCCGCACGGGTGTAAAACATCAAACAACGGCTAGTTAGTTGGTTTTAAAACCCGAAACAACCTAACTTTCAATATTTCATTATCTCCAAAGTTACATCGATATAAAAATAAAAAAAAACCCCCGTTAAACATCCGACTTCCGTATCGCATTATTTAATTTGTCAAATTTAGTCTGTCGTATCACCTTTTTTTTTATACATGTATAATATAAATCAAAATCAAATTTTCTCCACATATGCAAAAACCGGTTACATGTATAATACTTGAATAACTTGACACAAAACAATGACAAAACTGACAAGCATTACGTATCTCGCCATATAACGAGTATATAATGTATTAATATCATTAAACAATTGTTCCTTTTTCCGAAATATTTTTTCGCGCTTTTTTTTTTTTCTTTTTTTTTCTTCGGGTCTTCTGTTGACAGTTGATTATTTATAATAAACAAAAATTTCTTATTTTTTTTTTTATTTTTATTTTTTTCAAAAAACCCTTATTTTTTATATTATAATTATTTATTTTTTTTTATTTTATTTTTTTGTCTATAATAGTTTAGATTTTTTTTTTTAGAATTATCTATATTTGTATTAGAATTACAAAAAAAAAATTTATTGAACACTTTTTTCAAAAAATTATTATTATTATATATTATTTTTATATCGTATCAATTATAATCATTGTCATTAACAGATAGTCTCATATCTTATTAGCATTTATAATTATTTCGTCATCATCGTTTAATTATATACTTAGTTATTATTATAACAATTCTTTATCATCACAAATCCTATCATTATTCGCAAAAATTTTCAATATTCACAACAAATTTCAATATTCAATATTCGTAAAATTTTTAATATTCGCAAAAAAAAATTCAATATTTGGCAAAAAAAATTTCGACATTGGCAAAAAAAAAATTTCGACATTGGCAAAAAATTCGTAAAATATTTAAAAATTATAGATAATATTATTTTTTGATTAAAATAATATTGATATTATTATTTTTTGATTAAAATAATATATATATATAAAGATGAATCCAAGCAATACGAGCTGGAACAGTACAAGAAGTAAATCAAGTAGTAAGAGTAGCGAAAACTCTAGAACTACTGATAAAAAATCGATTAAATCTTTACATTTATCTCAAACGACTTCTCACGATTTTACTTCAGACCATGAAGTATTTGGTGATCAAAAATGGTTAGATGATTTAGTTCAACAACGTTATGTAAAATTTATTCCATTCGAAGAATTCGAAGATCCAAAAACTGTGGAAAGAGCAAATAATGGTGATATTGGAATTTATAAGAGTTTGAAATGGAGAAAGATGAAAAAGCGAGTAGTTATTAAAGAATTAAAAAATATCGGAAATTTAACTGAAAATTTGAGAGAATCCTTTGTTAGAGAGGTACGATTTTAAATATTAATCTTACTATAAATTTTGTTTATTATTTAAACATTTATTTAAATTGTTTATTATTTAACATTTATTTAAATTATCTATTATTTAAACATTTATTTAAATTGTCATAGTTACAATGGCATCTAAACGTTGATTTTACAGAACGAATAATTCGAATTTCTGGTTTAACTCAAGGTATATCTACTTTTATTATATCTTGTGACTTCATCACAATTCTCTTATGATACTTACAATCAATATTACTTTAGAAACACCTCAATCAACATATATCCTAGTATTACAACATGCAGACGGTGGTTCACTGCAAGAATACTTGTCAAGAAACTTTAAAAAACTAACATGGAACGACAAACTAACGATGGCCAAAGAAATCACTGAAGGGTTAAGATATTTACATATGAATAATATAGTTCATGGAAATTTGGTATGTCCAATTATATAAAATAATTATAATGAATTTGATGAATTTAAATATATATATATATATATAAAGTTATACTAAAAATGTTACAAAAAAAAAAAAAAAATTTTTTTTTTTTTAGAACTCGCGTAACATAATGTTCCTTGAACAAAAATTGAAATTAACCGATTTTGGGATAACTAATATGATGGTTTCTAACCCTTTAAATAATTTTCGAAAAATATCTTATATTGATCCTCAAATTTTAATGATTTATTTATCAACTTTTAATTCATCAAAATCTTCTTCAATTCAAGTTCCTGATTTTTCTCAACTTCATAATTATTATAATATACAAACTCAAAAATCTGATATATATAGTTTAGGTGTTATCTTTTGGGAATTATCAAAAGGTTATACCCCATTTTCTGATATAGAACATAAAAATACTCCAACACATGAATTAGCTAATGCGATCATAAAAGGATTAAGAGAACGTCCTGTTAAAGATGTTCCTAATGGTTATTTAAAATTATATACTTTATGTTGGGATACGGAACCTGATAAAAGACCAGGAAGTGAGAATGTGGTAATGATGTGTAGAGAATTGATGAATAATAGGGATTCTAAAGTTATACTCGAAAAAAATGCGGAAAGAAATGGTGTAAGGAGTAGAGGTATTGAAGAGGGAAGCGGAAGTAAAAGTTTGTATTTACTTATTTTTTATTTTTTTTGTTTATTTTGAAAAATTGAAAAATTAATAATTATAATGTTGATTTTTTTTTTTTGTAGTGACGGATCAAAATCAAAAACGAATTACTCGGATATCTGATTTCGGTATTTAATTTTCTAATTTTATTATGTGTGAAATATATGTTTTATTTTTGGTGGTGTGAATCAGAGTGGAAACAAAATTCTAATAATAGATGGTTGGTCAGATTTACAACGAGACGCATTAGCAGCAGAGTTATGGCTAGGTGCTTATCTATAAATATCTTTATATTATATATCTGATCTTCTGTTATATGTTTATCGTATTTAAAGTTTAATTATTTATTTTTTATTGGTAGAACTCGAAGAAAAACGACGAATGGGTTTAATTGAAGAAGGAGATGAATATTATGGACAAGGTATACATCCGCTTTTATTTCATATTATATTGGATGATCATTTAGGGGGTTTTGAATTAACATAAAACGTGCTGAATGTCTATCTCTACGAATTATGTAATTGATTTGCATAAGGATCGGATCAATATTTATCCATATTATATTATTTATCACGAGTATATTAATGAATTATAAACTTTTATTTCTCTAGAATATGACTATGTTTCGGTTGAACAATCTGGGCAACAGATCGAAGGTAACATTTTTATTTATAAAGTCTTGGTCAATTATATATATATTTATTGTTTAAATTTTATACCAAATATTTTTTTTACTTTAAAAAAAAAACCAGAGGAAGAATTACCGAAAAAAGAGCAAGATATATCAACAGTACATCAAAAGAATCGACTAAGCCAGGTAAATAATTAATTCAGAATTTACTTTCATATTTTAATTATCGTTAATTATTTAAACTTTTTATTAAAAAAGAATCTAGAAGCGCAACGGATGAAAGGTCGAAAATGGAAAAGCAAAGCTAAAAACCTTGTAAAGAGACTTTCGGGACGAGTGAGTATTTTTGATCTGAAAGAAATAATAATAATATAAATATAATTAATTACTATGGTTAAATTTAATTAAATACGCATTTATTATATGCTATGTTTTGATATTTTAAATTAGTGAATCATTAATGCATCTTTTATCATATTTGATTATTGATTAGTACGTTAGGTTTAATCAATACTTTTATTGAAATTCTATAGAAATCTCAAGTTCAAGACTATAATAATTTAAATATATATGAAGGTATGTTCTTAATTCATTGATCCACGATAGAAGTTATCTGTTCCTATATAATTAAGTAATATTTTTTTACAAAGTAAATTTTTAATAAAAAATTGTGAAACCTTTTATCGCGAATCATCAACCAAATTCTTTTTAAGAACTCCAAAATCGATAGAATCTAATTTTTCATAAAAATTTTTTGTTAATATTAATGATAGATGAATTAGACGAAGAAGATAGTGCAGCTGGATGGACTTCTATAAATATAGGTATATTTTCTATCATAATTATCAAGAAAAAAGATTTATATGAATTTATTCGAATATTAAACTTTTAAATTTTATAATCTTAATTAAAGACGATAGTGGTAAAATAGACTCACAAAATACACAAAGTTCACAAACCTCTCCAATAAGTTACGGAAGGAAATCTAATAACAGTTTAATAGGTCGCGGTAAGAAAAAGTTTTTTTTTTACTAAAAAAATATATAACATTTTTTTTTTTTTTTTTCGTTATGCATTTTAAATATTATATGAGAGGATATAGCAAAATCGTATCATCTATGTGAAGTGTGGATATTTTTTTTTTGTATATTTATTTATTTCCTTTTTTTAATTAGTGCGGTTTGAATTATAACCGATATGGGATAATTAAATTGTTTGGATGAAGTATTCCTTATCCGTGCTAGAGGATATGAGAATTTTGTTTTTTTTGGTGAAATTATAAAAAAATTTATATATATATATTTATTACTATTTATTATTATTTATTATTATGTATGAATTAAGAAAAAATATCTACACTTAAGAATTTTATAGAAAATTTCAAACTATTATTATTTTTATATATTATTAGATATACTATTTTGCCTGAATAAAATATTATATATATATATATATATATATTTATAGAAAGCTCTTTGTTAGCTTTATTTATAATTGGGCAATAATAGATAGCAAATTGTGTTTTACGATTTTTTGTTTATATTGTATATTTATTCTTATTCTATTTATTTATTCATTTATTTATTTTATATATATATTATTTTAAATTTTAGGTCCGTTCCCTTTACATAACCTAAATAACAATTTAGTGATTGAAGAATCAGGACCATCTGATACAAAACGACCAGGACCACCACGTCATGGAGTTCTGATGGCTTCAAAAAGTCCAAAACCATGTATGTAAAAAAAAAAATTATATATTTACAAATTTTATGAAATAAGTTTACTTTTATAACTTATTTTATATGTTTTCATAAGTTCATTTGTAATACTTTTGATATTTTTCTTAATCATACTTGGAATAATTTTAATATTTTTTGATGTTAATTCAATTTTTCTATTTTATAAAGATATATATGGTGATCAATGTAAAATGATATTTTTAAAAAATAAATGGAAATTACATTCACAACCATGTTATGCCGCTTATCATGCAAGAATTGGAGATTTAACAGGTATAAGATGGCATGTTGAATACTATGGCGATTGGGTATTAAATAGTATACAGGAAGTTAGTGGGCCAAGAAATAGGTAAGTTAAAATAACTTAAAAAAAGTATTATTATTAAAATTAAAAAAAAAAATTAATTATATATATATATATATGTACTTTAGTTATAGAAGACCGTTAGAAGCATTACCAATAGAAGCTACAATGTATTGTTCAGCTAAAAAATTATTACCTACATTAACATTTTTAAAGAATATGGGATCAGATTTAAATTGTATAGATTCTTATTCATTAGGAAATTGTATAAATGCTATGTCATATAATACATCACTTTTATCAACATCTTATAAATCAAATTCTTATTCACCTTATCATCCTACAACTTTTAATTATTATAAAACTCAAGGATTTTACTTTAAAAAAGTTTTATTATATTTATTAGATCAAGGTTTAAATATAAATTCTCAAACTTGTACTGGTGATACTTTATTATCTTCTATATTATTTAAATGGCATCCAAGTTTATTACCTTCAATAATTGAATTTTTAATAGAACAAGGTGCTAGTCCTAATTTAGAAAATTTAAGAGGTGGAACTCCATTAGGTTATACATTATTAGCAACAAGATTTGAAAATGGTGGTGGTCCATTTAAAAAAGTTTTAAAAATTTTAAATATTTTATTAAAAGGTGGTGGTGATTGTAATCAAGAAGTTGTAATACCTGGTAGAAGGTTAAGAAATTTAGGTTGGGTTTGTGTTGATGTAGCTGTTAATTTAACAAATTATCAACAAAAAACTTTAATTGAACTTTTAATTGAATGGGGTTGTGAATTTGGAACTTGGGAAAGCGAATATAAAAAGAAAAGAAAGAAAAATAGAATGGCAAGTGAAGAAAGTGGTATATTTGGAAAATTATACGCTGATGAAATATTAAAAATTGAAAATCAAGTTAAAGGGAAACTTCCAAAAAATGAAAGTGATGATGATTTATTTACCGAAAGTGATAATGAAGCTGGTGATAATAATCCGGATGAAACAGGTGGTGCAGGTGTTGGTGGAAATTTTGGAACAGTTAGTAGTAGTGGTATTTTAAATGCTGATTATAGTGAAGAAATTGATGCAATTTATGAAGAAATTGATGATGATGGTAATGAGTCACCCGTGTTACCAACTGGTCAAGATGGTGGAAGTTTATTAACAAAACGTTTAAAGGGTAAAAATTTAAAATTTGAAAACCCTATAAAGATACCTCCATTATTCTCTAGTCCACCTACTTCTCCTTTACCGCCAACCTCTTCACTTCCTCCAATACCTTTACAAAAAAATTTTACGGGACAACGTGGAATATTAACTGCTCGAGATATTCCCGTATCATTATTAAGGCCATTAGCAATTTTGAATTCTCAAATTAACACAAGAGGGTCACTTCCTCGTTCAACACATAGATTATCATTATTTTTCAATCCATCACCTAAAACACCTACATTCAAACCAAATAATCCACCAAACATTTTAGTATATGCTGTTCAACTAAATCAACTTAATATGGTAAAAATTCTTTTAAAACGAATTTATGAACTTAGTGAACCAAAAGGTATAATAGCTGCATTAAAAGAATGCGGTGTTACTTTTGATAAAAAAGAAAGTTTCGATGGAGTAAAAGATGGTGAAGAAGAATTCGTTATAATTTCAAAAGAAAAATATGGGTTCTTTGAACTATTTAAATCTCATGATAGTAATTATGAGATGAAAAAATATTTAATGACTTGGTATGGAAAACAAGGTGCTTTAAAAAGGCAAAAAACAATGGTTAGAATTGAAAAAATGAAACAAAAATGGTTAAATAAAGCTAAGAATGGTTATTTTTCTAGTAGAGGAATTGATGCTGAATTTACCATGGTTGGTTCTGATGGTCAAAAAATTATTTATGATGATGATGATGATGATGATGATGATAATGATGATGAAAGTGTATTTGAAGATTATTCTGGAAATGAAGATTTAGGAAGTAGTTTCGAAAGTCTGGAAAAATTAAGTGACTTAGAAATAATTGACAATGAAGAAAAAGAAATAATTGACAATGAAGAAAAAGAAATAATTGACAATGAAGAAAAAGAAATAATTGACAATGAAGAAAATGAAATAATTGACAATGAAGAAAATGAGATAATTGTCAATGAAGAAAATGAAATAATTGACAATGAAGAAAAAGAAATAATTGTCAATGAAGAAAATGAAATAATTGTCAATGAAGAAAAAGAAACGAATCTTAATTGAGTTGATTGTCGTTAAATACAAAAATCCAAATAGAAATTTCTAAATTTCCTTTTATAAATTTTTCCATATTTTAATTTTATTACTATCATTTTTTATTCATTTTAATCATTATCATATAAACACAATATTGTATTTTTTTTCAAGATGTATTTTTTTTTTAATATAAAGGAAACGTGAATTTTATTAATATCAAATTAATGATATTATTCATTACAATAAAAGAAATCGTAAAAGTTAGTTTTTAATACAGTCAAACTTCTCTATAGTTGCCCTCTAATCTAGAATTCTGGAAGTCAGATTCTATGAATAGGCAAAAGTGAAAGTTGTCTTTTTTTCTTCTAATTAATTAAATTTCTAACTAAAATTATAATCAAGACCATTAGTTAAATATTAATATGGCTATTAATATTATAGATATTTAGATGTGTTACGGAATCACGTTTTAAGCTTTATTTTTTAAGTACGAATTCAAATAGCGTGTCATAAAATATTGTGTCATAAAATCATATCTTCTGAAATAAAACTCGATAATTTTATGTTTGTTAAAAAATCGATACCTGGTCACTTTTTTGCGAGAACAAGAGTTAAATATTGAAGCGAAAAATTTTAATATTCTTCGCAAGGTAGAAATTACGGGTCAAAGTTTCCTTTTGATGAACAAAGATAGATTGGTTTGGCTTTAGGTCCCGCAATGATACTTGTAAAAGAAGTAGAGTTACTCAAATACAGAATAAAAAATCATTTTTATCATGCCGCGACCTAAAAGAAGTATTTAGACTATATAAAATCCGTGGGGATAGTGTCACTGATACACTACAATTCGAACCAGGTTGATATTATTAACTAAAATTAGAAAATATGGGATTGTAATGAAGCAGTGCGATAGCGATACTTGATGAATACAAACAATTTTGCATGCACTCAAAAGTATTATCGAGAGTCATATTAAAGTTTCACCACAGTTTGGAGTATCCAACGTTGATAATTACGGTCATATTAATTACGCAATTAGAAAAATCATAAACAAATCGGCCAAAGAAATTCTATGCATTACTGAAGAGAACATCATCAACTAAAAATTGAACATTATACAATGCAAGGATTCGTACGAAGTAAGTATCCTTACCTTGTTCGTTTAAAATTCTTAACACAATTAACGCGCGCGGATACTACTTACTGTATTCAATAGAACAAAGAATTAGATAGAAAAAAGTCAAATAACACTTGACTATGAGTGCGTCTATGGTATAGGGTTAGTCTAGCACCTCCGCCATTCAGTATGACCCATGATTATTTCGGTAGCGTAACCTTAACAATGAACCACTACAAAGGGTCCTAAGATTGAGGCAGCGGATAAACTCCCTTGTATATGGATATTACTTGGGTATGTTGGGTATGTTATATGCTAACAGAACCCGGCAACAGAAAAGTCAATTTTGTAATATGGTAAAAGATCTCTGCCATCTGTATCTACGATGTGTTCTCGCCAATTGAAGTTAATTGAACTATTACAGCTCACCAAATAGGACTACGTATTTAGAATTAGATCGGATGGACCGATTATTAGACTAATTGAGGGTGTTCTCAAGCAACTCCCTTAATGTCTTGTTGTTGCTCAATCATTGTGATTAATTGAAGCGATGTAATAATTTCACTAAAAATTCATTGTGCAGAAATTCGGATTTCAAATTTCAACCAAAGTAGCTATATGAAAAAAATTTTCTGCTAATCAAGTTATCCCGTTGATTGTCCTTACCATTACCGTTACGATTCATCCTAAAAAGGACTGGACTGTCCCGATCCTTGGATGGACCGAAGGACCATCGGTCTGAACCGGATTTATTAACAGCCCTTTTTGGACCCGACCCGATTTTTTCTGTTCGAATGGGCAAATCGCGGTTTTTCCCGCAAGATCCGCGCGTGATGTGCGGGATAGAGATTACCCTATGGATTTTTTAAAATTATGTTAATGCGGGTCAGCTGGCCTGAATTAGGGATCATATTAAAAATCCCGCGCGGATCCCGTCACCAGGGGCGGGTTCTTTAAAATACCCGGCCCGAACCATCCCGTGAGGAACACTATAATCCAGTGACACTCGGTCTAAGTTAGAATTAGGGTTAGGGTTAGAGTATAATTTGTTGATGTTAGTTAATGATGCCTGACGAATGACGAAACCATTTCGTCAGGCAACTTCGAGTTGACGAAATGACGAATGACGAAACTCATGACGAATCATAAATTTTATATGTAATATAAGAATTTGGGCGTAATAAATTCAAAATAC